GTTGAGTTCCAGGCCCTGGACGAGCCCTCCAGGTTGAGTTCCAGGCCCTGGACGAGCCCTCCAGGTTGAGTTCCAGGCCCTGGACGAGCCCTCCAGGTTGAGTTCCAGGCCCTGGACAGTTGTGAAAGTCGTGCACTGCACAACCCAAGAGGGCATCTTCTCTCACATCCGAGTGTGCACCACGGGCTGCCCTGCTGGCTCCACATGTGGCCTTGGGCGAGTTACTCACTCACTCCGAGCCTCAGGTTCCCCATCTGTGAAGTGGGGACAGTGATACCCCGGGGCAGCCATGAAGACTAGATGAGAGAGTGCCCAGTGGCTGGGAAGGGGTGAAGCCCAGGAAGTGGTAGCTACTCGATGTGGAATATTATTATGGTGGTGGCAGTTAGCGCAGGCAGGAGGCCATTCCTCCTCCCCCAGGCAGCTGGACCTGCAAAGCCCAAGCTGTCCACCCTAAGTCCCCCTGCGCCCTGGGCTGCATCCCGGGCACACTTCCTCCTTCCCCTCTGCATGCTTACTTTCACAACTCTCCCCGTGTACACACACACACACACGTGTATACACGTGTGTGTACACATGTACACACACCTGTACGCAGTCTCTCCCTCTCGCCTCCAAGTCTCTGCTCAGATGCACCTTCTCCACAGGCCTCTCCCCACCTCTCCCTGCCCCAGGCCTCCCCTCGCCCCATGCTGCTTCACTTCCCCGCCTTCTAATCCACCAGATCATCTCTTCACTCCCTTTGCTTGTCACCTGTCTCCCCACGAAGCCAGTGGTTTCAGCCATGTCACTGTCTCCCCAGGGCCTGGGACAGAGCCTCCCACATAGCAGGTGCTCAGTAAGCGTTTGTGCGACGAAGGTAGCTCATTCAGGCATGTGCCCAGACACAGAAATACACACCCCCGCCACGCTCACTAGCTCAACCTGCCTGCACACGTGTGCACATCAACGCATGAAGACTCACACCTGGACATGCTGCTGTAGCCACCAGGGGCGGATTGTCCAATAAGCAAGGTAAGCATGGTGCTTACCTTGCTTACCAAATCACCTGGACTGAACAATCTCACATTGTTTCACCACATCAAAGATTCTGCTTCTAGGTATGGCTGGCATCTGTCTCTCTCCCAGCCTCACAGCACCTTCCTACAGAATCAAAGCCTCTTCAAATTTACAATCCCTGACAAGGGCGATGACCCAGTAAGCAAGGTAAGCACGGGCTTACTTTTGCTCACTTACTCATCTGTAGTGAACAATCTCACATGGGTTTCAAGAAACCATGTGAGATTGTTCACTACAGGTGATCTGGTAAGCACAGTAAGCACTGTGCTTACCTTGCTTATTGGCCAATCTGCGCCTGCTAGCCACAGAGAGGGAGGGTTTTAGTTTACATAGAGACAGTGGATGAACTAGAGGCCCACGCTCTCGGCTCACTCAAACACACCTTGCTCTTGCCCTCGCTCTTGCTCTCCGGCCAGGACCCCCTCTGGTGGGCACGAGGCCTCCCCGGCCCCGCTGCAGAGGGACCGCCCCGGCCTGCCCAGGGCTGCCCTACCCATGTCCCTCTCTGCGGCACCCCCCACTCCCCACCCGTAGCCCTCCTTGCTTCCTTGAAGGTGACTCTCCAGAAATTTCCTGCTGCAGGTTGCCCGTCACCACCTTGTCAGCGCTGTCTTCTCCCCTCCCCCGGCTCCAGTGCCAGCTGCCGCCCCAGGCTCAGGAGACAGGGAAGGGCAGACAGCATGGGGGAGGGAACGTCCAGAGACCTGGGCTCCAGGCTGTCTTCTCTGTGAGCATGTGACCTTGTGCCGGTCACCAAGTCAGAAACCTCTCTGGGCCTCAACCCACCCGGCTCCCTTCAGGGACCCTTCTAGCATTTCACAGCAGGAGCCTGCCTGAGACCACCCTGGCGAGGAGGGCCAGGGGAGTGGGTGGGACATGTGGTCTGGGCACATAGCAAACTCAAGGTGTTGGAGGGCTAGTGTGGGGTGTTAGGGGGCTGCCAGGGCAGTGTGTCATGGAATGGCCTAGGTAGGATGTCAGAGGGATGCTGGGGTGGGGTGTCGGGGGGCTGCCTGGGCAGGGGTGTCGGGGAGCCACCTGGGTGAGGTGTCATGGAATTGCCTAGGTAGGATGTCAGGGGGTTGCCAGGGTGGGGTGTTGGGGGGCTGCCTGGGCAGGGGTGTCAGGGAGCCACCTGAGTGAGGTGTCATGGAATTGCCTAGGTAGGATGTCAAGGTGTTGCCGGGGCAGGGTATCAGGGGGGCTGCTTGGGCAGGAGTTTTGGGGAGCTGCCTGGGTGGGGTTTTGGGGAGCTGCCTGAGTGGGGTGTCAGGGAGCTGCCTGGGTGGTCAGGGGAGCTGCCTGGGGAGGTGTCAGTAGGCTGCCAGGGCAGGGTGTTGGGGAGCACCTGGGTGGGATATCAGGGGCTGCCAGGGCATGGTGTCAGGGGCTTTCGGGGGAGGTATTGGGCGGCTGCCAGGGCAGGCTACCGGGGTCCTGCAGCCTGAGCCCCCCGCCCCCTTGTCATCTGTCCTCAGGGGAGCGCATCCTGGCCAGCGGCTCCGTCCAGCTGCCCCGATTCACGCTGCTGGAGTCGGGCAGCCTGCTCATCAGCCCCACACACATCTCCGATGCCGGCACCTACGCCTGCCTGGCCACCAACTCCCGGGGGGTCGACGAGGCCTCGGCAGACCTGGTCGTGTGGGGTGAGTGTGCACAGTGCCATCACTTTACACATCTGTGCACTTGTGTGTGCACCCTGCAGGGCTGGAACACACGAGTGCTGCAGAACACACACTCGCCCGTCTCAACATCTGTGTGTCTGTCCAGCCAAGGGTCTTCATAGGAGGGCCATCGACAAGCGTGTTAGTCCAGATGTAAGGGGCCGGGAAGGTCAGGGCCCTGGAGACAATGCTCACGGTGACGTCGCCGCTGTCTTCCTCCGCTTGAAGGCAGATGTCAACAAACTTTTCCTGTAAAGCCACAGTCAGTGAATATTGTAGGCTTCATGGGCCAGACGTCTGTCATAGCCCCTCAACGAGAAAGCGGCCGTGGACCATACCTAATCAAGTGAGCGTGGCTGGGTTCCTGTGAAGGTTTATTAACCGGAACAGGCCATCTGAGGGATTTGGCCCCCAGGTTGTAGTCTGCAGACCCCAGCTTTAAGGGAACTCCTTAAGCCCCTTCCACTCTAGGATCGTACCTTGTGGGATCCACACGCAAGTTCCTCGCACCTGGGGGCCACCTGTCCAGGCTGAGCCCGGGTGGTCTGGTGGGTCTCGCACTGGACTGGGAATCAGAAACACTATTTTCGCCCTGTCTGGACTGCTGACAGGCCCTCGTCATCATCATCATTTCTGTTTCTCTGTCCTTCCTGTGGATTTGTGAGAGCAAAATTAAATGAGTCCCCACTATGAAAGTGGCTTCCGAGAATTAAATTACCCTGTTCTCTGTAACCATTCTGGGGCTTCCACTACCGTGGACCTGTCCACGTGCGGGTCTGCCTTCACCCACCAGAGCCCAGCCGCACGGCCCCGATTCTCCTAAAATCGCCCCTCCCACCACCCGCACCACACGCCTTACTCTGGGACCCTACTCAGCATGCTGCCTCCGCCGCTCTCTTTCAGCCCGGACCCGAATCACCAAGCCCCCGCAGGACCAGAGTGTCATCAAGGGCACCCAGGCCTCCATGGTGTGTGGTGTGACCCATGACCCCCGAGTGACCATCAGGTATGCGCTCTGCGGCTCCCGGACCCGAGGCTCACCGTGCAGGCAGGTGGGGAGGGGAAGCCTTTAGGGGTGGCTTGTGGAGGGTGTTTAGTCCAAGCCGTAAGTGCTGTCCCTAGGGCCAAGCCACGCCCCTGGGGACCATCTACAGAGCTGAGTGCAGGGCTGAGCCACCAAAAAAAAACGAAAAACCAGTTGGCATCGAGTCATCTCTGAATCACCATGAGTCCCACTCACTGCGACCTCACGTGAGCCTGAGTAGACCTGTACTCCGTAGAGTTTTCAGTGGCCAACCTTTGGGAAGTAGATCACCAGGCCTTTCTTCCTCAGCACCACTGTGGTGGACTCGAATTTCCCACCTTTCAGTTAGCAGCTGAGCACGTTAACTGTTCCCACCAACCTGGGACTGAGCCTCAGCAGATGCTAAATAAAAACCTGGGGACCTGGGCCACGTTGAATTGAATTGAGGTGATGTCAGAGGGGGAGGAAGAAGGGAGGGGGTGAAGGAAAATGAGAAAAGAGGAGTGGAGGAGGGAAGGAAAAAGAAAGAGACAGTTAGGGTCGGTGAGGGGTGGAGGGCGCTGTGTTGTTCTCACTGAGACCTCGAGACACCCTCACTAGGCCCCCAAGTCTTAGACCCTCTGCCCACTGGGGGACAGCAGAGGGGTCCCAGTGAACAGACTTGGGAGCAGTGCTAGGGCTGGGGACAGGAAATGGCCCTCATCCTGGGGGTGACTGTCTCGGAGAGGCATGTGAGGTGGGAAAGTGCCCAGACCCAGGCCACCTCCTCGTCAGCCGTGGTGGGGCCAGGGCCGGGGCAGGTGGTTTGGCCTTGGGGACCGGGTCCCACCTCGGAAGCCCCTGCAGAGGGCGGGGAGGAGCAGCCGTGGACAGAGCAGCCACGAAAGGTGGAAGAGCTGGGCCCTGCTCCAGCTCGGGACAAGGACACCTCCGGCAAACCCCGGGAAGGCTTCAAGAACTAAAAACCAGGAGGGAATGGCCCCTTCTGTCTCTCTCTTGAGCTCAGAAATGCCGAGTAAAAAAATTTAACTGCTTCCTTAAAAATAAATACTCCCTCCATGTTGCTTCTGTTTTATGGGCAATGTCACTGCTGAAGAACTGGCATCAAGGCTGGAAGGGGCCAGGGCACAGGGGCCAGTTGGAGAAAGGGGCCTCCCCTCACCTCCTCTGCAAGAGGCAGTTGTGTCCTGGGGCTCCATCTGGTGGTTAACAGGCACATGACAGTCCATACGGCCATGCCAGATGAGACCCCAGGAGGGTCCCTGAGTGGTGCACACTGGACTGCTAACCACAAGGTTGAAGGTTCAGGTCCACTCAGAGGGGCCTCAGAAGAAAGGCTTGGCGATCCCCTTCAGAAAAATCAGCCATCGAAAACCCTATGGAGCACAGTTCTACTCTGACACACGCGGGGTCGTCATGAGTCAGAGTTGACTCGATGGCAACTGGTTTTTAGGAACCAAGGAAGGATAAAGGGCACTAGACTTTTTAGCAACCCGATTTGAAGAGAACTTGGAACACCTGAGTATACATCACAGGCCCCTATTTGAGACACATCTCATTAAAAGTTACGGTGCCAGCATAAATGCAAACGTGAATGTTGACATCCCGTGCATAGATTTATAATATTGTCAACAAGTAATCCGTCATGTGTTTACTACCGAGTTTATTAGTTTTGCAAAAAAAAAAAAGTTAATATACCAAGTGTAAAAAGATTCTCACAGAGAACCCCACCCTCCATAGAGTACTGCTGTGGATCCTAGCCAGACCCTTGTATGTGGTAACTATACTTTCGGTAGTCACTCATTGAAAACGTCTGTAATTACAAAAGGTTACGCTAATTCAGTGAAACTTTTAAATCAGTTGACACTTCATTTATAAAATATCTATTTATACTTGGAAAATACTTGTACATTGTATTCATTCTCTAGATGATTCCTGATAAACAAAGGGATTTAGGGACCTCCTCTAACACATCTGTAGGCCCACCCTACAGGAGCCCCCACTATTCTAATTTACCGGGGGAGAGGAGTGGGAGGTCCTTGCCTTAAGATAGAATTACTCATCTAGGACAATAAGATGAGCTGCACCGCTTATCTTTTCTAGATGGGAGAGAGCAGGCTTGGTTTCTGGTACCCCTAAAATTTGTAAAGTCTATGACCAAGGCTACCCCCACATCTCCCACCCTCTTCTTGAACTTTCGAGGGCTTCCCTGCTTCCTCCCATCTGCTGCGGGTGGATCTCCGTGGTGGGTCCCAGGCATCCATCTTTTTTAAACACTCCCCAGGGGATTCTAATGTGTAGCAGGTTTCCAGCTGGGCTCCAGCCATAAAACAAGCAGGCAGACGAGAAAAGATCTGAGCTACCAAATCAATCTAAAGTGGTGGCCACCTGTCTTAGTCATCTAGTGCTGCTATAACAGAAATACCACAAGTGGATGGCTTTAACAAAGAGTTTATTCTCTCACAGTGCAGTAGGCTACAAGTCCAAATTCAGGGCATCAGCTCCAGGAGAAGGCTCTGGAGGAAGGTCCTTGTGTTGCATCGGTCTTCCGTTGGTCTGGGAGCTTCTCTGCACAGGAACCTCAGGTCCAAAGGATGTGCTGTGCTCCCGGCACTGCTTTCTTGGTGGTGTGAGGTTCCCATGTGTCTCTGCTCACTTCTCTCTTTTATATCTCAAAAGGGATTGGCTTAAGACACTATCTAATCTTGTAGACCTCATCAGTATAACTGCCGCTGATCCATCTTATTACATCATAATTATTGAATTTACAACACATAAGGGAGTCACATCAGATTACAAAATGGTACACAATCCTACAGTACTGGGAATCATGACCCAGCCAAGTTGACATATTTTCTGGGGACACAATTCAATCCATGATACCACCTAATCCTTCCTTATATGTTCTCAGAATATCACCAGGGTCCGGAGGTGAAGGTCTGGACAAGGGCTGGTTCCTAGCATAAGCAGCCTCCAAAATAATTTCTAAACAAAGCTCTCCTGTCTGGTACCCGAGCCAAATGAACAGAACCTGAACAAGTCACTGTTAGCCATTATTAACATTTATAAATATTTGCATTGCTTTTTTCTTCTTCTTATACAATTAGTTGGTGCTGTTGTTGCTAGGTGCCGTGAAGTCAGTTCTGACTCATAGTGACCCCATGTGTTACAGAGTAGAACTGCCCCATAGGGTTTTCTAGGCTGTAATCTTTACGAGAGTCCAGGTCTTTATCCAGAGGAGCCACTGAGTGGGTTCGAACCACCAACCTTTCAGTTAGCAGCTGAGCACTTCACCTTTGCACCACTAGGGCTCCTTAGATATTTGTTTATGGAGGCAACAGTGATTTAGTGGTAGAATTCTCGCCTTCCATGTGGGTTCAATTCCAGGCCAATGAAGTTCATGCACAGCCACCACCCGTCCGTCGTTGGAGGCTTGTGTGTTGCTATGATGCTGGACAGGTTTCAGCAGAGCTTCCAGACTAAGACAAACTGGGAAGAAATGCCTGGTGATCGACTTCCAAAAACCAGCCAGTGAAACCCTATGGAGCACAAAAGTCCCATCCACAACCCATCATGGGATGACCCAGGACTGGGCATCATTTCGTTCCATTGTGCTTGGGGTCACCGTGAGTCAAGGGCAATGGCAGCTAACAACCATCAATATTGGTTTTGGGGGGCAAACAAAATACAGAAGAACAAGCAGAGAAAGAGAGAAGAAGAAAAGTAGAATTATCTGTGGTTCCCCCAGTCAGAGATAATCAGTAATAATATTTGGGTGCCATTTGACAAACCTAGAAACCCACTGTTTCTTAATCTGCTTTTTTCCTTCAGAATCTACTGTGAACCTCTTCCCATGTCAGTAAATATTTTTGTATAAACTCAGTTATTTCGTGGTCCGTGGTAAGGATGTAACATAATTTATGTTGCCAGTTCCCTGTTGCTGGGTATTTGGATTGTTTCTAAATTTTTGCTAATCTGAAGAAATGCTGTCTTGAATGCCCTTGTAACTAAATATTTTTGCACATGCTTGATTTCCTGAGGACTATCTGATAGGATTTAAAGCTGCGAGGACCTCTGAGAAGCACTCGTCAAAACTGTATAATAGCCAGTTAGATAATTGCAGATTATTTGGGAAAATTTTTACCCTGTCTGGGTTGAATGAACTCCTGGGTTGTTTCTTTTCTTTCTGTAACTTACTATGGAAATTTTCAAACAGACACAAAAGTAAAGAGAGTTGTATCATTAACCCTCATGTACCCATCCCTCCACTTCAGCAATTATCAACATTTGCCTGTTTTGTTTCATCTGTTCCCTCCACTTTTTTATTTTTTATTTTTGCTGAATGTTTTAAAGCAAATCCGAGACATGTAATTTCACCTTAAGCATGTCTGTGTACATTTCTTACTGAAAAAGACTTTTTTATTTAAACATAACAACTGTGACACCGTCACACTTAACGCAATAAACACCAATTCCTTCGTTTCACCTAATGCTAACCCATATTTCAGTTTCTTCAGTTGCCTCCAAAGTGTTTTTTTATAGTTGATTGGTTGAATTCAGGATCTAAACAAGGTCCACACATTGCATTGGGTTGGTGAGTCTCTTTTATTCTACAATAGTTCCCCTCTTCTTTGTTTTTGTTTTGTTTTCATGCAGTTAATTTGTTGGAGAAACCAGGTTTTATAGGACAGAGGTCAGCAAACTTTTTACGTAAAGGGCCAGAGAGTAAATATTTCAGGCTTTGGAAGCCACATGATCTTTGTCACAACTGGCTGTGTTCCAATAATACTTTATTTATACAAACAGGCAGAGGGCCACAGTTTGTCGACCCCTGCTGTGGAATATCCGACATTCTGGATTTGGCCAGCTGCTTTCTCATGGTGTTGTTAACTTGTTCTTCTGTTCCCTGTATTTCTAATTAGATTCAAGTAACTACTAATTAGATTCAACTTCAATTGTCTTGGCACAAATACTGCGCAGGTGGTGCTCTGTACGTCCTCAAGTGCCATATCCTGAGGCAAATAATGCCCGCCTGTCATAAATTAATTTCTTATGGTTTTTAAATAAAAATCTGCCCACCACACCAACACCAGGAAGGATGATTCATTTCTAAATGAAGAGATCCATTGAAGGTGATTACTTTTGGCAATTCGGAA